GATTGATGTTGAATTCTTCCAGTGTCTTCTTGAAGAGATCACTGGTGAAGTTGGTGCCACAGTCACTTTGAATCTCCCAAGGAAATCCATATTGGGTAAAGATCTTCAATAGTTGTTTTACCACCGTAGCAGCCGTAATGTTCTTTACAGGAACTGCTATGGGGAATCTGGTGGTTGGACACAGGATGGATTGTATATAAGCGTTGCCAGAACTGGTCCGGGGTAAAGGACCAACACAGTCTATGATGAGTCCGAAGGCACCGGGACAGGAATTAAAGGAGCCTTGAGAATCGGGATGTTAGGTTTTCCTGCCATCTGACATGTATGACACTGTTGCACGTAACTTTTGACATCTTTAACCATACCTGGCCAGTAGTAGTCTTGTCTGATTCCGTGGTAGGTTTTATTAAAACCATAGTGAGAAAGTGCTCCGTGAGCCAGGTGTAGAATATCGGGCTGTAGGCTGGTGGGAACTATTAGTTGGTCGACATTTGCCCAATCGTCATCCTCCTTCAGCTTACTGGGTCTGTACCTGCGGTAGAGCAACTGATTCTCTAGGAAGAACCCAGGGATACTGTCAGGTTGAGTCTCAGCCTGGAAGAATAATGGTGTTAATATAGGATCCTCCGTCTGTAACTTACGGAACTCCAACATAGTAAGATTCGGTGGTAGATTCTGATGGTCTTGAGGGACAGCAGTAGCAGTAGAGTCAGCTGGTTGAGGCGTGCAGCACGGGTGGTCACCAAAACTGGAGGAGAAACTTCATTTCTTCTTGGACCTCTGCTGGAACATACTTTAAGATGGGATTGTCCACTACAGAGTCACATACCTGGGGTTTGTCCATGATGATCAGGTTGGAAGGTTGCAGATCTTCGGCCAAGTCATTGCCCAGGAGAAGTTGTACCCCTGACATGGGAAAAGGCTTTTCCCTGATGGCGACTTGGACTTCACCGGTCACGAAAGGACAATCCAGGTGGACTCTGGCGAGTGGATACGGAGTGGTAGCAGTGAGGTCAGTGATAAGGACGGTTTCCCCGGTGTAGGTGATGTTAGGCGCAGCCGATTTCAATATTATGGACTGAAGAGCCGCTGTATCCCTCAAGATCTTCAGTTTGAAACGTCCCTCCGAATCTGTACCGTTGGTAGAGACAGTTCCAGGATACAGGTGTTTGCTGAAGAGAGAAAGATCATTAACATGAACACCAACATTCATCACAGTCTTACCGGACTTAGGAGGAGTCGGTTTGGATTTAGGAGTTTCACTATAGCTTTTGTATTGGGCATTCCCACATTTATCTATGGTATGTCCATAGAGCTTGTAATACTTACAATACAAATGAGAGCTCGCCTGATCGGTACTCACTTTGTCATAACTAGACCAAGACTTCTTACTGGAAGGTGGGTCAGGTGTTAGCCGGTGTATAAGGCTGTAGGTGTCAGCCGACTTCGCACATCTGATGTAGTCGGTTTCTTCTTTGTCTGCTAAATATAAACGGATGGAAGGGGGAGCACGTCTAAAGAATTCCTCAACAAGAATGAGGTTGACGAGTTCTAAAAATGTAGAGACATGTGCTGCTTCCAGCCATTTCATGAAATATCTTTTCTTAGTATTGGCAAATTCTAAAAAGGTGATGGTACTTGCCTTTAGATAATCACGGAATTTTCGTCTGTAGCTTTCGGTGGAGAGAAGGTAGGCGTCTAAAACTGCTTGCTTCAGGGTCTGGTAGTCATTCTCACACGCTAAGGAACTGAGAGTAACCGCAGCTCTACCTGTGAGATGCACTCTGAGAAGGGTAGACCATTGATCTTCAGGCCAGCTAAGTTTTTTAGCTAGGGCCTCAAAAGTAGTAAAAAACACATCTATCTCTGTCTCAACGAATGGTGGCATTAACTTACTGGCATGGGAGACATTGAACCTTACTGGGAGACTAGCTGTAGCTTGTTGGCGCTGAGTGTGGTGTGTAGTTTCCAAGGTGAGTTCTTGTCGACGATATGCTAGAACACTCTCACCTTGCTTCTTATCGTGCTCATGTTGCATCTCCAGGTGACGTTTTCTTGCTTCTAGCTGTTCCCTCTCCCGCGCACGGTGTAGGGCAGCCTCACGTTCCTGTTCCTCTTTCTTTAGGGCAGCCTCACGTGCCGTTCGTTGTAGAGCTTCTTTCTCAAAGGCAGCTTGTTCTTGCAGTTGGTCACGCTTTAGGGCAGCCTCTCGTTCCTGTTCTTCCTTCTTTAGGGCAGCCTCGCGTTCCTGTTCTTCCTTCTTTAGGGCAGCCTCGCGTTCCTGTTCTTCCTTCTTTAGGGCAGCCTCGCGTTCCAGTTCTTCCTTCTTTAGGGCAGCCTCGCGTTCCAGTTCTTCCTTCTTTAGGGCAGCCTCGCGTTCCTGTTCTTCCTTCTTTAGGGCAGCCTCGCGTTCCTGTTCTTCCTTCTTTAGGGCAGCCTCGCGTTCCAGTTCTTCCTTCTTTAGGGCAGCCTCGCGTTCTTTCATCTGGAGATCTTCTTTCTGTTGTTGTAGAGCTTCTTTTTGTTGTTCACGCTCTATTTTCGCTAATTCGAGCTTTAACTTCATAGCTGCCAGAGTATGTCAATCTGCAATAGAATAGTTATCGTGAGAATCAGAGTCTATAATTCCTTCATCTAGGAGGTGGTCCAAGATAATATTGTGCAAGTCACTTTTGTTGGCTCCATGGGGAACATCTAGTTGATACTCATGTGCTAGAGTTTGTAATTCTGTCCTCTTGGCACTGATTAAGTTCCCTACTTCACTTGCTGGATCACTACGAAATGCTGAGAGATGAAACATTTTGAGATAGCAAATATATGTACAACGAATATACCTGTGATATTATAAGTGTCAGTAACAGGATGACGTGGCAACTGGTAACTACCCAGTGGAAATTTAATCGTTAACAATTAACGTTAATATTAGATGGTAAATGATTAGTCACTCAAAATCGCAGGAAATCTTGTACCCAGTACTCAATATAAGACAATAAGGGCAAGAAAATCCTACTAAATAAATGAAACCGATAGTTTCTAAAACAAATGAAACTTTTAATTGTTTCAAAAGTGAAAGGGTAATCCAAGAATGTAGGGATACCTTGCCGGGTCTCTATAGGACAGAAGCAAGGGGTTTCTTACTTAATTATGATACTTACAGAGTCAGCGTTCTTTGTGCTCTGAAAAAAGAAAGCTAATTCCCTACCTGAGTAAATATCATCATCTCTGACCGACTTATAGGGGTGCGAGTGTCAACTGGAGACGAGAACTGTTGTTGAGGTCCCAACTGAACAGCGTAGTCCGTGCTAGAGGAACTATGGCCCTCTGTATCCTCCTGTGGTCAGACTGCAGAAGACAGGGTGCGTGGCCCGAAGACAAGCAAAAGTACCAGGGTACCAAAATGATGATCTGTCTGAATTTGATAAATATCCTAGGGACGAAAAAGGTGGAATACACGAGTAATAACACCGAGGGATGGACGACCAATTAAGAGAATGACTGAGGCCTCCAGTCACCACGTAATCCACAGTTATCCAACACTCACAATATCTTACCCTCGGAATGCACAAAATACACAGCTCCATATAAATATCAAAAGTTATGAAAATATTGAAAAGCAACTGTAGCAAAGCCAAGTACACTTACCACAAATTGATGTTCTAGTACTAGTACCTGAGTGAGGCTCCTTGGACAGACCCCCATTAAATGTGATGGAAAAAGAAGTGTAGGTGTTCGGCAGTCCTCCCAATGGCTGGTGTCAATGCCAATCACATTTACAAAAAAGAAATTGAGTGCTTGGCTATTGCCTTCTGTGGTAAAGTAAGGGAAAACACGCAAAACAAATAGTATGAACAATGAAACTTTAATTTAACTTGAAAACAAATATGAACAAAGACAATCCCTTGGCTATGTACAATACAAACAAACAAGATTATAAAGTCAAAACATAAAATAAAATAGTGGTGACGTTACTCTACAATGAATAAAGACAAGAAATGAATTAACAGGTGCTGAGAATAAAGCTCTGGCTGAGAACATTCACTAATAAACAGAGTGTATATCAGATGGTTGTATCAGCTTTGAGAGCACAGGATATTCTAAATCCAATGGATTGTGCATGCTCAGTCATCGGCTATGAAGATGGAGCTGAAGTGCAGAGGTGCAGACGTCGATTCACCAATCAGAAGCGTGCTGGCTGGAAGTGGTGGTTTAGTGATCGAAGAAGGTGGAGGGGGGAGTTGGAAAGCGAGTGTCTGATAAGTATGCGCTTGGCAGAAACGTATTTTACTCAATATGTACTACACTTGTTTGTAGTATCTAGATTTTGTAGATGTACTGAAGTAACATGATGATAGGAAAGAGCAGGCCAAATCTCTCTTGAAGGAGATTATCGTAACAATATATATATATGTATATATATATATATATATATATATATATATATATATATATATATATATATATATATATATATATATATATATATATATATATATATATATATATATATGTATGTTGGTGTTGGTACGTCATTTCAGAAAAAAAGAATATTTGCAATAAAAGAATAAAACTGCAATATATCAATACACACAGAAATCACAATAACGTGATATATCAAACAGCACTCCAGGTTGCAATTTTTTTTACTATGTCGTGGTACAGTTGACTAATAAGCGTCTGGCAAAACTCAGGGCATAGATTCGAACCCTCATCAAGACCTTGTAGATTTGTTCATCTGATATATCACGTTATGATTTCTTTGTGTAATAATAATATTAATAATAACTAAGAATGATAAGACTTTATACAAAAAATTCTGATTAGAGTATAAATTGTATGATAAGTATTTTTATTGATTGATAATGCCACTAATCACGTGTAAATGACTAAACTTTTCTCTAAAGTAGAGTTGACCACTTAAAATACTTATTATATTCTATGTTTAGTTATTTTTAACTGTTACAAAAGTGAGGACATTAATTTAGAGACACTTCCTCCTTCAGACGCTGGAATGGTGATATGGAAGCTGGCGTGGTAGTGGAGGCGGGGCCGGTGACCAGCCAGGACCAGCTGGACCACCTCCTCCAGGGCCAGGACCGGCTGGACCACCTCCTCCAGGGCCAGGACCAGCTGGACCACCTCCTCCAGGGCCAGGACCAGCTGGACCACCTCCTCCAGGGGCTGTGGACCGACGCTAGAACCACCTGCCGAGGACTCGTTCTTGATCTCACCTCCAACAACAATACCAGCCTTATACTTGAGTAATAATTAAGAAAGAGGAGTGCGTGGAATTAAAAATGACTTGACAATGGTCCAGGATGGATAGAAACGTCGTCGTTTCATCATTTTCTGATGTGTAGTTTGATCATAGTTGAAATTGAGTTGCACTCAGGGTTTTGCCATTTTTATTTGTCAGGGTTTGATTTGTCAATTATTCACAAATCATGATAATTCAGACACGAATCAAAGAAGAATGGCGTGAATTTTGGTCACATATTAGCCAGCTAAATTTCTTGACGGACTGGATCTAAATCAGACTTGCGATGAGGCAAAATATACCTGTTTCACACATCCAAGGAGATAGGTAGATTTTTTTTGTCCCCTAACTCCCCTTGCCACTTCGGGGGGGTATAGGGTTTTTATGTAGCTTCGGAGCCCGATCCCCCCAGCCACAGGGCATGGCGAGACGGACCCCTAAGCATACCTAATACCCTAACACACACAAACTAAAAATAAACATATATGGCAGATCTCATCACACCCACAAGAGTTAAGATGATACTAATAATACATAATAATAACCTGAAAATAAACAAAAACATTAATGGAAAATTCTTTTGTAGTTGGTTTTTTCTATATGGGAGACAGCACACATGGGTAGGGGTGCACAGTATAACATTTAAAAAGAACAAACAAACGCTGAAGGCCAAAGCAGCAAGCTGCCCAATCGGCAGGGATGATGATTTGACGTCGGCATACATGGAAAACTAGACACAGTGGATGCTCCTAACTAGGCCCCGGAGCGGGAGGGTTATCATGTATGCGCATGGGGTCCCTCCGGTCGCCGCCTTATCTACTCGTGGGCTCTGCCAGGTCATCCACCCTCTTGTGAGACGCCATTAGGAGAAGTGGTACTCCAGATGACGAAACTGCTTAGATAGTTGGCTACCAGCTGACTTGGCTGCGGTTCACCTAAGCGTGACTATAGTTACCCTTATGCACCCTGTGCACAGTGATCCCGGGGCTAGGGAGGCCTGCCCCTTGACGTGGCCTTGGACCATATTCTGTATATAGAATATGTCCAGGTCAGGGCCTTCACGGAGCAAATCTCGAGGTCGCTCTTGGTGAGACCCATACCTTGTAGACCACGCACACTCTCCTTACACCATCCACCTCTCCAATTAAGGGTTATTTAGGAGGCGGATACTGTAGGCTTACCGGTATACTCCCGGACCTTCTGCAGGATCTCGGGGGTGCCGTATTTGTCGCACTTGCTCTGATGTGGATGGGAGAGTGGGAAGTTATCATCTGAGACCTGGGTGTCTAATATGAAGGCCTCATCACCTTTGCAAGCTATATTACCAGGCTTGCAGAAGGTCCCTCCATCTGGTATACGGACCTCGCGCTCCACCTCAAAGCCTCTTTGCAGCAATCGGCCAGCTACGAACCGGGTGATGTCGTCGGGACGTTTCACCCGAGCCCCGTGTGTCTTATGGCAGGCCTGGGATATGTGGCCCAGGGTTCCTGGTTTCCGACAAGCGTCACAGAGACCAGAAGCCTCGGGTCTACCCCTAGCCGCCCTAGACGGCGTGGCTACAGCGTTTGCCCTAATTTGGACGGCGTGGGCAAAATCTCCTCCGCTTAGCAAACGGGTACCGGACGCAACCCACTTGTGACAGGATGGGACCTCACAAGAGGAAGCGAGGCCGGCGCCGTCGACCATGCTGTACAGTTTTGCCTTCCATCTTCTAGCGCACTCGGTCGTCCTGCTGGATGGCGTTCCAGCGGCCGTGGTCGGGTCTACCCACCGGCGCATTCTCGCTTGGAATGCGGGTAGGAGAGCCGCTGCCACCACCACTGGGTCCGCTGATCCAGTCAGCGCCCCGAGCCGCTTGTTCTTTTGTAGCCGGATCGATGTGGTAAAGTCGGGTATCCCTAGTCCACCGTCCTTGACGTCGGCGTGGATAAAGGCGTTGGGGGTGTCATGGGGCAGCCGCAGCCAGCCACGAGTGGCGTGTCACAGCCGCCGGTCCAACCTCGCCAGCTCCGTTTTAGCCACGTGTCCGAGGACAAGGCGGTGGTTCATCTTGGGGATTAGGTGGTGCTTTAGTAGGTATAACCTCTGTTGGGGTTTGAGCAGCGCCTTGGTGATGTTGGTCAGGCCGTCCTCAAATAGGGAACCATAGGTAAGCGTCTGCCCCCGGCTCCGATCAGTATCCCTAAGTACTTGTACTCGTCCGCCACACTCATAGTACCGATCGCATCGTCTCCGACATAATATGCCTTCCTGGTGGGGACATGCCATGTCTTTCGATGCGCATTCAATCGCTATGCTCAGCGTCCGGCATTTTGCGGCGTTTACTTTGAGACCAGAGCCGCGCAGCGTGCGGCAAATACTGGTTATGAGTGTCTGTAGTCCGGC